GAAATACCATTACTGTTACTGTAAGGTTTCAAAAAGGACTTTCTGGTCCACTCTCACGTGTGTCATGTGTATAACCCAGTGGTTCTCAACCTTTCTTTGCCAACGGCACACCTTGGAACACATGAAAAAATAGCAGCACACCTGGCTAAATAATTTTGCAAAATATAAACATGGTAAGTCGAACGTCATAAAACCATAGACAGAGACTAGTCATAGATACATAGAATGACTCCAACTAAATAAAGAAAAAACACAGCTATGAACTTATCAGCATACACCAATGAATACTTAATTGTTTTTTCACATTTTCTTAGTGTGCCGTTCAAAATTTCCCGGCATACTTGGGAAGATCTCCAGGCACACTGGTTGAGAATCGAGAATCACTGGTATAACCACTGGCCTACCATGACTCACTATCAGAGCTAAATAAATAAATTACATATTACCTGGTAATCTAGGGCAGTATGAAGTTGGGTCGTTTTTGTTTATTCGTTATTCGTTATTCAGCAAAACGAATAACGAGGTGGATCATCTCGTTATTCGTTATTCAGCTTTTTATTCGTGATTCAAATATGCAGCTAGCCATGACAACAATGATGGATGTCAAGTATCCCCCAGTAGTATACAAGACAGTAAAACGACTTCTTGACGAAAACTGTCCATATTTTTATTGAAGCAGCGAATAACGAGCTGTTTATTATTCGTTTTTCACCTCGTTATTCGGGATTCACATATGAAGGGGTTCATGCATCTTTAATGAGGATAATTCAGGATTTAATTCAAAACGATCACTATACAACAATAAAATAATGGATTGTAAACTATCCACTAGAAGTGGAAAACTCATTAGTAGACGTATAGTCGGTAAATAAACCAGATTGTTATTCAAGCGGTGAATAACGAATAACGAATAGAATATTGGATTGCAAAGTATCCCCTTGCAGTAGAAAACATATTAAATGACGTATAGTCGATAAATAAACCAGATTGTTATTCAAGCGGTGAATAACGAATAATGAATAACGAGCTGTTTGTTATTCGTTTTTCATCTCGTTATTCGGGATTCACATATGAAGTGGTTCATGCATCTTTAATGGGGATAATTCAGGATTTAATTCAAAACGATCACTATACAACGATAGAATAATGGATTGTAAAGTATCCCCTGGCAGTAGAAATATAAGGTGTTCATGTATCTTTATTGAAGATATTTCCGGATTTAATTCTAAACGATCATTAGACAACAATAGAATAATGGATTGCAAAGTATCCCCTAGCAGTAGAAAATATATTAAATAACGTATGGTCGATAAATAAACCAGATTGTTATTCATGCGGCGAATAACGAATAACGAATAACGAGCTGTTTTTTATTCGTTTTCCACCTCGTTATTCGGGATTCACATATGAAGGGGTTCATGCATCTTTAATGAGAATAATTCAGGATTTAATTCAAAACATATTTAAAACATATTAAATAACGTATGGTCGATAAATAAACCAGATTGTTATTCAAGCGGCGAATAACGAATAACGAATAACGAGCTGTTATTCGTTATTCACCGCTTAAATAACAATCTGGTTTATTTACCGACTATACGTCATTTAATATGTTTTCTACTGCTAGGGGATACTTTACAATCCATTATTCTATTGTTGTCTAATGATCGTTTAGAATTAAATCCTGAAATATATGTGAATCCCGAATAACGGGGTGAAAAACGAATAACAAACAGCTCGTTATTCGTTATTCACCGCGTGGATAATAATCTGGTTTATTTATCGACTATACGTCATTTAATATGTTTTCTAATGCTAGGGGATATTTTATAATCCATTCGTTATGCAACGCTTGAAGAACGACCTGGTACCGACTATACGTTATTTAATATGTTTTCTACTGCTAGGGGATACTTTGCAATCCATTAGTCTATTGTTGTCTAATGATCGTTTTGAATTAAATCCTGAATTATCCTCATCAAAGATGCATGAACCATTCCATATGTGAATCCCGAATAACGAGATGAAAAACGAATAACAAACAGCTCGTTATTCGTTATTCACCGCTTGGATAACAATCTGGTTTATTTACCGACTATACGTCATTTCATATGTTATCTACTGCTAGGGGATACTTTGCAATCCATTATTCTATTGTTGTCTAATGATCGTTCTGAATTAAATCCCGAATTATCCCCAGTAAAGATGCATGAACACCTTATATGTGAATCCCGAATAACGAGGTGAAAAACGAATAACAAACTGCTCGTTATTTGTTATTCACCGCTTGAATAACAATCTGGTTTATTTACCGACTATACGTCATTTAATATGGTTTCTACTGCTAGGGGATACTTTGGAATCCATTATTCTATTGTTGTCTAATGATCGTTTAGAATTAAATCCGGAAATATCTTCATTAAAGATACATGAACACCTTATATGTGAATCCCGAATAACGAGGTGAAAAACGAATAACAAACAGCTCGTCATTCGTTATTCGTTATTCACCGCTTGAATAACAATCTGGTTTATTTACCGACTATACGTCATTTAATATGTTTTCTACTGCTAGGGGATACTTTGCAATCCATTATTCTATTGTTGTCTAATGATCGTTTAGAATTAAATCCGGAAATATCTTCATTAAAGATACATTAACACCTTATTCGTTATTCGTTATTCATGCTAGGGGAAACTTTACAATCCATTATTCTATCGTTGTATAGTGATCGTTTGAATTAAATCCTGAATTATCCCCATTAAAGATGCATGAACCACTTCATATGTGAATCCCGAATAACGAGGTGAAAAACGAATAACAAACAGCTCGTTATTCGTTATTCACCGCTTGAATAACAATCTGGTTTATTTACCGACTATACGTTATTTAATATGTTTTCTACTGCTAGGGATACTTTGCAATCCATTATTCTATTGTTGTCTAATGATCGTTTAGAATTAAATCCGGAAATATCTTCAATAAAGATACATGAACACCTTATATGTGAATCCCGAATAACGAGGTGCAAAACGAATAACAAACAGCTCGTTATTCGTTATTCACCGCTTGAATAACAATCTGGTTTATTTACCAACTATACGTGTACTAATGGGTTTTCCACTGCTAGGGGATACTTTACAATCCATTATTCTATTGTTGTATAGTGATCGTTTTAAATTAAATCCTGAATTATCCTCATTAAAGACGCGTGAACCCCTTCATATGTGAATCCCGAATAACGAGGTGAAAAACGAATAACAAACAGCTCGTTATTCACTGCTTGAATAACAATGTAGACTGTTTTCGTCTAGAAGTCGTTTTGCTGTCTTTGATACTACTGGGGGATACTTTACATGCATCATTCTAGTCATGGCTAGCTGCATAGATCCAACTTCACACTGCCGTAATGTAGCTGGTATTGCTGTGTAGGCTACATGTAATTAACATCTTTTATCAATCTGTGAAATATATTCCTTATTTCCTGATAAGATGGAAAGAAAAATGAACAAATAAAATTATAGCTTCCATACTAAACTATATACAAGCGTTTCAATTTCATCATCTGTATTAAAACTACTAGACTAGAGTCTAAATAATTATAATGGATATTGTTGAAATTCAGTAGGTTTCTTCATTTTACAAATTTAAATAATATATTATTCATCTAAATTTAAACAGATCAGATGATAACTTCAGTCCTCAGTGCACAAGGTAGTAATATTTTGAATTAAAAAACAATATAAACTTACATGTCAACCATCACAAATTCACGTCATTATTAGGCCCAGAGTTTTAGGTTGTTTTTTTTTCGAAAAGACTTGCAGGCTGCACAATACTGGATTCACAAAATCTCCTCAAAAAATAAAAAAATTCTGACTGTAATAAATAAATGTAATCAAATTAACACACGTGCCAAAATCGTAGCTAATACTAATGTACATCTTAACGATTAGATTAAAGATTTAAAACTAAAAATACTGAATGCATACAGGTGTATTGTGGGTAAAAACACTCGGCAGATCGGAATATTTAATAGGTCAAATATTTTCCAGATGAAACAATGATCCAGTATTGTGCGTATAAAACCGGTCACCGATAGATAATCGGTCTACAGTTTTCCCTAGATGTTTACAAGGTAATTACTTAGTTAGTTTATGCGGACGCCTTAGAACTCCAAGTGGGACTTGGTACATATAAATATACACTCGACACTACAAATGATAGTACCGGATAAAAATTAATCTTTTTCGTTAAAAAACGGGAGAGGAAAGTTATAATAAAATTATTTTATTATAGTTATAGGTTAAAATAAAGATTGTTTACTTTATTGATTTCTTTTGTGAATCTAAGTGTGAAGGGTTGTGTTTGTGAGCGTGTCTCGCAGGTCCAAACACAACTCATTAACACCTTTTTTGTAAATTTGTTTACTTAACGCACGCGTGTACTGACTGCACGTGCGACTATAGCTAGTCCATACTCGATGATACGCGTGGTATGACAAGTATAATTTTGTCAACAGTTTATTCCTAGACAATAAGTAAGTTATATCATAGAAATTATTGGTTTATTTCATAGTTTTGTAATTAATTGATTTAGATTTGTTTAAAGGGACAATATGTCTTGCAAGATAAACATTAATAGTTGTTCATTTGAACAATTATGTGACATAGGAGTCAGCCCGATTGCGGCTGAGAAAATATGTGCCACTCGAGAGGCTATTGGCAGTATAGATAGGGAAGAATTGGAACAGATTCCGGAGGTACTGAGTTTATTCTTACAATTGGGCACGGAAGAAATAGACGGTAAACAACCGAGTGGGAGTTTGGATTGTAACAATTCTCCTTCGACCCGATTGCCTACGGATATAGCCGGAACCCATCAACGTGGTCAGACTACATCGTCGCCTGGAAACAATTTTGAATGTAACCGGCCAGGTCGGACTTATAGAAAGCCAACTTTAGATGACCGTCGCCGACGTGTCTCATTCCAACCTAAGTCCTTATCCTATGATGGTATGACAAGTTGGCAGGCTTTTTCTAGTAAATTTTCGCGTTACGCTTTGCTACAGGAATGGAGCGATTCCGAAAGCAATGATCAATTATGCTTTTGTCTTGAAGGAAAGGCCAGTGACTATTACTGTGTAATGGCAGAAAGATATAATGAATTGTCATTTTTTGAACTTTTAGGCAAGTTAGAGAAACGATTTGGCAATCAGGAATTACCCGAGTCGGCGATGACTCAGTTTTATAATTTACGCCAGAATAATGGGAAAAATATAAACGATTGGGCAGACCGTGTTCTATCGGTTGCTTCGCGGGCCCTTAGAGAATGTTCCGACGAACATGTCACTGGTCAAGTTGTTTTGAGATTTTGTCAAGGTTGTATTGATAAAGAAGCGGGGCAGTACGCCTGTAATATGCGCCCTAGAACCCTGGATGCAGCAATCCAATCTATTAAATGGTTCTATCATAATAATATTGCGATTTATGGACGAAATTCTCGTAGAGATACGCGCAGCCCAGTTAGGGAATATGAACCTCAGAGGGTAAGGTCTGTCAATGCCACTGCGAAAGAAATTAATTCATCCAAGCCTTTGAATATAGATTCCCGGTTTCAAAGTTTGGAAGACGGGGTCGTCAAATCCGACCGTACAATGGAGACGGTTTTAAAAACAATGGCGAAACTTACAGATAGTGTCTCTAAGCTTACTTTGAATGTGTCAAGATTTAGACCGCGCTCAAGGTCGCCATTACGTGAACAATCCTCGTGTTTTCAGTGTGGTAAATTGGGTCATTTCAAACGAGAGTGTCCAAGCTTGTTAACTCCAAGACAGAGTACGCCTTTAATCCCACTGCAGAGCAGAAACATGTCAGTTTTGTCAGCGATGATGAGTGTTTAAACTACAAGGGATTGAACGAGTAGGCGAGCGTTTCATCCAGTATACTTTACCATCGCCGATATTATTTTCAGAAAGTGAGGTGTCGAGCGAAGCTACGGGTATAAATGAAAGGGGAACCGTTGATTGTTCGATCGGTTCTAAATCCACCGTTTCCGTCGGTGATGAGCAATATATCCGGGAGTTGATCAAAGGTTCCTGGATATCGTTGCAAATGGTGTCATTCCAAGAATTGACTCAATCGATTCCGCGATAATTGAGGAAACGTGCGAGTTAGCTTCGACGTCTACCCGTAAGGTATCTTCCGATTCGATGTATAAGCTTAACGTGAAAGTTTAAAACATGACAATTTTGACCGTTTTAGAAACTGGTAGTCAAGTCACCATACTTTGTGATCGTCGATACGATGAGTTACCGGAAAAGCCACCTAAAATTCGAGATGTACGCCTACATACGGCAGGTCGTCAATTAGATTTTCCTGGGTGTATTGTAGGACCGGCTAAATTTAAAATCGGCTCTTTTGAAATAGAACTTAGTCAGTTGTATGTCTCTCCGATAGAGGATGACATGTTATTAGGACTTGATTTTATGCGCGCAGACAAAGTGCATATCGATATGTTAAACGATAGAATGAAAATAGGCGACGATGTTTTCAATTTATTTTATGGCGATATTGATGGGTACTCCGATAATGCCAATATTTCCGTAGCTAAACGGATAGTCATTCCACCATTATCAGTAGCTAGGGTACAGTGTAATTTAAATAAAAATTTATCCCATTTAAAACACCCGAAGTTGTTGATTGCCCGATCAATACATTCACATATCGAGACAGAATTTCCTCGTATTTGTTTAATAAACCCGTCTGAAGAAAGGGTAATACTTGACACGAACGAACAAATAGCTAAGGCTATTGAGTTTAGGGAGCAAGATATTATTAATCCGTTGCAAGACGATGGCTCTGAGACAGATTGTGCAAGTTTTGAGAATATACCCGAGCATTTAATTAATTTATTCATGCGTTCTAAGAAATTATTAACGGAACCAGATCAATTAAAACTTATGCAGTTATTTATAGATTATCAATAAATCTTTGCAATACATCAGTTATTAATGCGGTTACCACTAAAGATGTATCCCCCTTACCCTTGGTGGATGAATGTATGGACACTCTATCTGGCAATAAATGGTTCTCAAAACTTGATGCAAATTCTGCCTATTGACAAATCCCTCTTAGACAGGAAGATAGGAAAGAAACCGCCTTTATTACAAAATACGGTTTATTTGAATTCACTAAACTACCATTTGGCTTAACGGGAGCTGTCTCTGGGTATTCCAGGAGCATCGGATTAGTACTTAATGGACTTAGTTGGGATATTGCATTAGCTTTTTTGGACGATACGATGGTCATGGGCAAAAATGTAGATGATCATTTGGACAATCTAAAATTGGTATTAGCTGGATTTCGGGAATATTATATGAAATTAAAACATAAGAAGTGTGTACTATTTCAGCAAGAGGTTGAATTTTTAGGTAGAATGGTTAGTCAGAACGGTCTCAAAGCGGGTAATGATTTAACTAAAACCGTAGAGAAATGGACGGTTCCAAATTGCACAAAGGAAGTCGAATCTTTTCTAGGCTTTGCTAACTATCATAGAACGTTTTTAAAACAATTTGCCGTTGTTATTCAATTACCGGTTAAAAAAACAGTTTATGTGGGGTGAGACACAACAATTTGCTTTTGATAAACTTAAACATTTGCTTGTGACAACTCATGTACTGGCTTTGCCCACGGAACATGGCACATTTATTCTCGATTGTGATGCTAGCATGAACGCTGTTTTGCGGAATTGTCACAGATACAAGACGGCAAAGAACGGGCCATTGCATATAGTAGTTTTTCTTTGAAACCAGAACAACGTCGCTATTGTACGACGCGACAAGAACTCTTAGCAATTATACGTTTCACGCGGCAATTTAGACATTATTTACTTGGAAAACCTTTTATAGTGAGAACTGATCACGCTAGTCTCACTTGGTTGTTAAGGTTTAAGCATCCGACCGGACAACTAGCACGTTGGTTGGAAGAATTGGGTCAATATTATATGACAGTTGTTCATCGGAAAGCACGTTTGCATGTAAATGCCGATGCCTTAAGTCGAATGAAATTGCCGGATAAACCGTGCGATGATTTTAATATAGATGTACAGTTGACCGATTTACCGTGCGGTGGCTGTCGTTACTGTGAGATAGCACATACAAATTGGATGGAGTTTGCTACAAATGTGGATGACGTCATACCCTTACCGTATAAATCCGGTATTAAGCGCAATTTAATGTTGGGGAAAGAGTCAGTTTTTGAACCTGTTAGCATAGCTGTTACAGGATATCCAAATGAACCGCGGGTAATATGTGACTGCAGACGAGAATGATAATGACGACGTAGACGGTGATGGTATTTCATTAAGTAGTTATTCTCCAGAACTCCTTAAAACTGCACAGGCGAATGATAAGGAATTAAAGATAATAATGACTTGGTTAACCTTTGGGGTTGAACCGGAACAGGCTTATTTAATGCTACAGAGTCCAGCTGTAAAACATTATTCGATTAATCGGAATCTGTCTGTTCTAGATAAGGGAATTATAAGAGTCAAAGGACCGGGTAATTTATCAGAGACTTAAAAGTTGATATATGTCGATTATGTCATGACATACCGCTGTCTGGTCATCAGGGTATTCAGAGAACAAAAAGTCGTATTAAACAACAGTTTTATTAGTACGGTATGACCGAATATGTACGCGCATATGTTACCTCTTGTGCGATATGCAATATTAACAAAAATACCCAGGCCAAACCTCGTGCTAAATTAACCCGTTACCATGCCGGGTCACCCATGGAAAGGGTACATTTGGATTTCTTAGGTCCGTTGCCAAATTGGATTCTTAATTTCCGTCGCCGATCGGATTCCGATGCTTCACTCCCGACTGTTACGGGGAATGCAGAAGTTTATTGCATTTGTAGAGAACCGGATAATGGCACACCAATGATTTGTTGCGACCAATGTGACGACTGGTTTCATTATCATTGCGTTAATATAGCCTTGGATTCCGATTGGGATGATAAAGAGTATATTTGTCCAAATTGTTTGGAATAATGATTTCGTTCCGGTGTTGAGACGGAGCAGGGAAAGGGGGTAGTAGTAATAAACTAATTTGTTACTGTCTTTACCAATTTTTTAACGGTAAAGGCAGTGTTTGTTTGTTTTATTTGTTTCAGATACAATTATGGATAATAGTTTTGGACATACGCACTGGCCATTATCAGCCCCGTACCGTCACAGGGGTAGAGGGTATGGGACTCCGCCTAGGGTAGCTACTCAGGGGGGTAGCTGATCCCAGAATACGTAGGGGTGTGTTAAGGCAGGATGTATACCGCGTTGCAGTGGGGAGTGGGGATTTTTCCCATGTGCCAACTTTTGTCCCAACTAGTTCCACCTTGGGGAACGCTTCGGAAAATTTGCCTCCTGTACCATCTGTGGTAACCAGACAAGTTCCTGCCCCTTCTGTCCCTTCGGGACCTGCTTTTCAGGCCACCAGACGCCGTTTACAAGGAAGAAATCAGTCTTGCCCTTTAACAGGCTGTCCAGTTATAAGTAGAAAAATAAAGTTTCATTGTTTTGAGTACCATATGCCTCGGTATATGACCCAGGAGACAAACAACAGTCCTGATAATATTGACAGACAAACACAGGCTCTTAAGGCATTATGCCGGATGGTGGGAGGTAGAACCCCAGAACAAATGGTCGAGTCTTTTAATTTAGGAGGTTGGCTCCCCTTGGACAGCCAAATAGACCGGTCTTGGAAGCGGTATGCAGAAAGAATGGTTGGCCCATCCCAGTACGATTCAAACTAAATCATCTAAATCTAAGACAACAGGTAGAATTTGTTAATTTTTTGAGAGTTCCGGCTGCACCCCTCGACTTTAATCAAACAACCGTCGAAAACTGGATTGGCCCTCAATTCCGCCATGGAAGAGTGGGAGGTCGATATGGACGAGGAAATAAATTTATTTCAGTTAAAAATAATATTGATATTAATACTGTAGTGAATGGGCGTGAATGTTACGGTGTAAATAATATACCGCTATCAGTGTGGTTGTGTGTGAATGAATGTTTATATTATATGTATATATTCACCAGTATATATATATTCATTATTTTTCCTGTTTTCTTCTTTTATTAATGCACGACTGTTGCAGGTAATATAGATAATGTCCCACCTTACAGAAAAACGGGGTGGTGTGTTGTGAATTTACTAGGCTCCGGTGAAAGAATCAACTAGGACCCGTCTGGATAATCGGGGTTATCCAGTTTCTATATATAGTTCTATGTATTAAACCAAGGAGTATTATTAAACCATTCTCTACACAAGTCTCGCTCTATCCAGTGTGGACTGCCAGGGAAAATAACTCTGTCTGGTAGATAGTGCCAAATATTTCTACGGCGTAGGGCCAAAGTTATTTTTAGTCTCTCTCTCCCTTTCCTTTTCCCCCTTTAGCATGGCGATATCTGTTGAATTTTTGGTGTAGAATCGAAAAAAAGGGTTTGAAAAAACATTTTCTGCCAGGTTTTGGTGAATATTCATGATTTTGAGGCGGAAGGATACAAGAGTTGTGAGGTTGGTTACGTTGAAAATTAGGGCCGGAAATTGCATGTTTACTTGTCTCTACTTCCAACTTGTGTATCTCAAGTTTTTCATGGTGAACCTCATACATGCTTTTGGGCAAGAGTTTGCCACATGTTGCTCCATCTGTGGCAGAAAGCGTTCTACCCAACGAAAATTTGGGAAAAAGTTAGAGCCGGTCTAAGAGACGAGAATTAACATTAAAGTCAATGGGGAAATAATTAGTGATCTGTGGCCTGTCTGTGTGTAACAAGGCTGTGACTAACATGCCTTAGTTTTGAAAATATGAAGACTTTATTATTAGAAAATATGTATAAAATATTTTGAGTACAGAAAAACTAAAAAAAATTGTTAAATCTTAAAAAAAAATATCGATTTTGGCGAAAAATTGTGATTTTACTGCAAATTTCTCAATTTTCAGTTTTTATTTAATTTCTAACAGTAAGAAAAATATACTCAGCCAAATTAAAAACTTGACACTGATGAATTTCAACAAAAATTATTTTCTGGTAAGTCAAATAAATTTTAAAGTGTTTCTAACGATAGTAAGTAGTAAGAAGCCTTTAATTTCATAAAATTGTAATGTCACGTGGATCACGTGAGTTTTGAGCATATAAAGATGAAAAACCTGAAAAACACGTGCAAACACAAACTCGTCAGGTCAATCATGCAAGTTTGCTTAAACTGAACACGCACACGTAACTTGAACTGGAAAAACAAATTAAAATTGTTATTTTCATCTTTGTTAGAAAATGCCGCGCCTTTCAAATGTAGAACGTCTACGTGCTGTAGGTAGGCTCTATGCTGGTCAGTCTGTGGTCACTGTTGCAAGAGCCTTTAATTGTTCACGCCAGACAATAATTAATCTTAGAATGAGAGTGCTTCGAACTGGAACTATTGCCGACCGCCCAAGGGCGGGGCGCCACGTGTGACGTCACTCCAGTAGATCAAGCAATACGATTACGTCATCTTAGAAACAGATTTGTCACTGCAACCTCCACAAGTAGAGAGATGTTTGGTGGAAGGGTAACTGCACAAACTGTTCGAAATCGCTTGCAGACTGCTGGTCTTCGAGCTCGGAGGCCCTATAATGGACCAATATTGACACCTCTTCATCGCCGTAACCGACTTGTGTGGGCCACAAGACACATAAGATTTACTCAAAGACAGTGGAATTCGGTTGTCTTTAGTGACGAATCTCGATTCACTTTGAGATTTGCCGATGGCAGGGTCCGAGTGTACCGCAGACGAGGTGAACGTTACGCTCAAGTATGCGTCAGAGAAGTTGACCGATTTGGTGGCGGCAGCGTCATGGTTTGGGGTTCTTTTTGTGCACATGGACGTGCTCCTCTTGTTGTCCAAGGAAGCTTAAATGCTTTCCAGTACAGGGATCAGATTTTGCAACCTGTTCTTCTTTCGTTTATGCAGAGACATGGGCCTGGACTAACGTTTCAACAAGACAATGCTCGACCCCATACAGCAATTGCTACCCAGAATTTTTTAAGAAATGCCGGTGTCCAAGTCCTGGATTGGCCGTCGCTTAGCCCCGACCTTAATCCTATTGAACACATCTGGGACGAACTGGGTCGACGTGTTCGTCAGCAAGTGAATCCACCACTGACGTTGCAGGACCTTCAACATGCTCTTGCTGAGCAGTGGCGACGTCTTCCTCGGGTAGAGTTTACTAATGTTCTGAGATCCATGAGAAGACGTTGCGTGGCAGTACGAGACTCTAGAGGAGGCCACAACCGTTACTAAACACTTTATTCCGATTGTTCTCCAAGTCTGTGAATTTCATTTTGAGTGGTACTGTGACATCACGAACGTTATCAATGTCAAGGACTTTCGGCGAGACGTATTCTTGCTTTCTGTTGATGTCAAGGTCGTCTGTGCACAACATAACACTAAAATAGTTGCCTTAAACCAAATATTAAAAATCTAGTCCCAACAATCCCGAGTGTCAAGTTTTTAATTTGGCTGAGTATATTTTAATGTCCAATTTTGGCTTATTCTGCCTCAAAAAGCACAGACAAAGTGAAGAGTAGTGTAATTTCACCTAATTTTGTCTAAAAATCAGGAATATTCACAGAAAATCTCCAGATTCTCCCATTTCGAGGTAGAAATTAATGCTTTCATGACTACTCAAATGAGTCAAAATGTCTAAAAATGCCCTTATTTTCATTGCTAATATAACTTAGATGGGATCTATAAGTTTGTAAGGTTTAGAAATAGCTCCGGCTTTCCTACAGAAAACTGAAATTTAGTCACACTCAGTTAATAATGTACAGCAGATGGGTTTGTACAAAATGTTCAAAACAGGGGTTGGGTCAATTTTGCCACTATTTTACCCAGAATAAGCATTTTTTTCTTCTCAGAAACATTAAATTCTTGCATTTCCTTCATGTAGGAAGCAATATCCCAGTCTTTCTAGACATTTTTTACTCCATTCTGTTTAGAGAGGCTATAAATGCCCCACCCCACCTTTTTTTATTAATGTGTTTTGAGAGATTTAATTGCTCCTGTGTTGAGAGGCTATAAATGCCCCACCCCACCTTTTTTTATTAATGTGTTTTGAGAGATTTAATTGCTCCTGTGTTGACAATTAAATGATAGAAATTGGAATTTGTGGTTGAATTGCGTCTAGGAATGTTATTTTGCACCAAGAAATGGATATTTTGTACATTTCAAGGATTTCTAACCTTTTTTTATTTAAAGCCAAACTTAGAACCATAAGACATGTCAGGCCAATGAGACCACACCCTGGTTCAAAACTGGTGTAGATCTGTAAATGTCAGTTTAATGTTCAATATTTTTTTTTTAGCAAAATCTAGGATTTGTGGTGTTTGTTGCATTTACGTGGCTTATAGAACAATAAAATGTAAATTTTGCTCCTTTTCAGGCCTCCTTTTTGTTGTCAATTCTGTCATAACCACTTTTTTGACTTCATTTTTTCAGGAAATTTATGTAAAGATCCAGACATCTTGCTTCAGCACTAGGATTGCAATAAAAATGTGTATGATGCCTCTGAGGTTTGAGATGTTGGAAACATTGAAATATTCCCAAATTTGTGAAAAATGTGCATCCTGTGGCCCTTTTGTTAAAGAGGAATGATCATAGACTAAATATTGCATTTTTTTCATTCATCAAGGCCTATTTTAAACCATAATTCATATCTATTACACCTATTTTAGTTTCTATGCACATATGTTAGCCAGGGATGGTAAAACATAGCTGTTAGACAGATTCCTTTGATAATGTTAGTTCTGCAAATAAAGATTAGATTGATTCAATCTGTGGCATGTTCAGGGGGTAGGGACACATGTTTCAGTATAAATCTGTAATATTACAATCAATGCAACTGATTTGCAATTTTTTTGTTTGCATATTGTCCACAGATTCTAAATATATATTTCTTGCCAGTCTGGATATTTAAAAAAGTGGAAAATTATTGGTATTTTGAAAGATGCTATATGTAAATTTTGTACATTTTTCATGACATGGCAGTAAAAAATTATTTTTTGGAAAAAAATTCCAAATTATGAGTGTTTTCTATGTAGTTTATTTGCAATTTGTCTAATTTTTTCACAGAACTCAAATACTGCCCCTAATACGAAAGATTTTTAAATTTTAGCACAAAAGGCCCATGGACCGGAGATGCACCACTGTACATAAAGCAGCATGTATACTTAAAGGGCCATCATTTTTGCAGTTATTCTTTGATTTTGATTTCCTTTCACCAGCATGTTGCCAGAACACATGGGAAGCAAATAAAAAAGGCCTTTTGTTGATACCTGAAGTTTCACCCCTATATAGGACACAGCTCACCAAATATTTCTACGCCGTCACCCACGAAACAAGGGCCAAAGTTATTTTAGTCTCTCTCTCCCTTTCCATTTTCCCCCCTTTTGCATGGCGATTCATGTGGACGTATTGTGCCGTCGCCCCTGTCTGTCTGTCTGTCTGTCTGTCTGTCTGTCTGTCTGTCTGTCTGTCTGTCCGTCCGTCCGTCCACAATTTGTTTGTGGACACTCTACAGGTCACAATTCTTATCCGATTTTAACGAAACTTGAAATATAGGTGTATCGACTGCTTTCGATATTGGCATGTATCGGATCGAAACTTCATGGATTATGGTCCCTGTTTGTACCAAAAATCACGTTTTTGGCTTGTGGACCCTATAGAGGTCACAATTTTTATCCGATTTTGTTGAATCTTGAAATGTAAGTTTATAACCCAAAGATCTCGGTTCCTTTCGATATTCGCGCATATCGGACCGTAACTTCCTGAATTATGGCCCCTGATTGTACAAAAAAAATCGCATTTTTAGTTTGTGGTCCCCTATAGAGGTCATAATTTTTATCCGATTTAAAAAAACCGTATTATTATATCACCGTTACACCATAAGGACGACTGAGTTCAAATTTCGTGAAAATTGGCCTAAAATTGACAGACAAAATGGCCGCCGTTCGTTCTCAAATAGCGTAAAAATATGGTATATCGAGATTGTGGACCCTATAGAGGTCACAATTTTTATCCGATTTTGCTGAAACTTGAAATGTAAGTTTATAACCCAAAGATCCCGGTTCCTGTCGATATTCGCGCATATCGGACCGTAACTTCCTGAATTATTGTGTAACGGTGATATCATTATACGGTTTTTTAAATCGGATAAAAATATTGACCTCTATAGGGTCCACAAGCTAAAAACACGATTTTTCGTACAATCAGGGGCCATAATTCAGGAAGTTACGGTCCGGTATGCGCAAATATCGAAAGGAACCGAGATCTTTGGGTTATAAACTTACATTTATAACCGAATCATAACCCAAAGATTTCGGTTCCTTTCGATATTTGCGCATATCGAATTGTAATTTCCTGAGTTATGGGCCTTGATTGTAGGAAAAATCACTTTCTTTTTAGCTTGTTCTCCATCCATCTCTCGAAAATGTGGGCGTATTCTGCCTGGCAACCGCTGGTTGTTGACTTTTTGGTGTAGAATTGAAAAAAAGGGTTTGAAAATACATTTTCTGCCAGGTTTTGGTGAATATTCATGATTTTGAGGCGGAAGGATACAAGAGTTGTGAGGTTGGTTACGTTGAAATGTAGGGCCGGAAATTGCATGTTTATTTGTCTCTACTTCCAACTTGTGTATCTCAAGTTTTTCATGGTGAACCTCATACATGCTTTTGGGCAAGAGTTTGCCACATGTTGCTCCATCTGTGGCAGAAAGCGTTCTACCCAACGAAAATTTGGGAAAAAGTTAGAGCCGGTCTAAGAGACGAGAATTAACATTAAAGTCAATGGGGAAATAATTAGTGATCTGTGGCTAAATCAAGTTCCTGTATCCCTACGCCGGAGGTATAAAACCGGTCACCGATAGATATTCGGTCTTTCCCATCAAAAGACTAGTAAGTTCGTCATTCCAAGCGACTCTCTGAGCAGTCTGATTTCAATCCAAAATGACAACTCGGACTCAAGACCAGAAGTCATTTTGGAAATCGGGCAGCTGTACCAGAGGGTTTTAGAGAAGGGAAGCAAATTAGAACTCGTGTGGATTCCATCACATGTCAACATTAGAGGAAACGAGGAGGCAGATCGACTAGCCAATGAAGGTCTCAAGGACACAGCACCACTCCGCACCATAGACTACAGCACCACGGAAATCTACAGTATGGTCAAAAGACAGATCAATTCAATCTTGGAATTATATCTCGTTGAACTTGACACATACAGATTCCGGCTGGATGACAAGATCTATACAAAGACAACACTCAATCACCCTAGAAGAGATATATGTAGACTTATATCGAAGCTAAGGGTGAAAGAGCGGCTGCGAGACTACAAACACCAAGTCATCATCTGTGAGTGCGGAGAAGAATGTACCACCAACCATGTCCTGGTAGACTGCGAGGTATACAAGGAGGAGAGAATGGAACTAGTGAGAACAATGGAGACTAACAACATACCATTCAACACTAAGAATCTACTCTTCCCGAGACCAGATTTGAAACTGCAAATCTTCGAACAAATCCACGCCCTAATGGACACAGTTGGACTAAGTAGAATAGTGAAGTAAGAGGAGGTCACGGCTAGACGGGCCCGGCATCTAAACACTAAACTACATAGGGGATTTATACCACACTGGCAGGATAGTGGAGTAAGGGGGAGTCACAACCAGACGGACTCGGCATCTAAACACTATTCCGCCAAAAACAGACACCAAACCTACAGAGTGGGATAGTGGAGTAAGGGGAGGTCACGATAAGACGGGCCTGGCACCTAAACACAAACCTCTCAAAGATGACATCTACCAAACTAGCAGGATAGTGGAGTAAGGGGGAGTTACGATCAGACGAACTCGGCGCCTAAACACTATTCTGCAAATAAAACTGATACCAAGCCCAAAGAGTGGGATAGTGGAGTAAGGGGAGGCCACGACAAGACGGGCCTGGCACCTAAACACTAACCCCAAACGATGACATCTACCAATCCAGAAGCAGACGAAATCATCCACCAAACGATATGTTTTATATTAAATAAAGGGAAGAACTTCCCACTAAACCAAATCCATGGCCTAATGCCAAATGGAAAGATTGCAAAATCATATTCTAAAAAACAGGAATCAGCTTCGGCTCTCCTATGTCTTGTCTGCGATATCACTTATGTGGAAGCAGACGTTAAGCACCAAGAACTACTACTACTACATATTCGGTCTACAGTTTTCCCTAGATGTTTACAAGGTAATTACTTACTTAGTTTATGCGGACGCCTTAGAACTCCAAGTGGGACTTGGTACATATAAATATACACTCGACACTACAGTACCTTAAATATAGTAGCATTGTTCACAAGTCCACTCGTTCACTACATTTGGCGTGGCCGATAAAGCTACCCTTGAAATAAAGTCATTCATGGTAAGTTATTTGATGTATAATTTACTGTGATATATTTGCTGATCAACGATTGATAGTAGAATGATAGTGTTCGATAGAGGAAATAATCCCCTATTTTTATATTTATCGTAATCGAAATTATTATTAATTTAGTTATTTTGTATATAATAATCATACAGTTTGCTCACAATATAATACAGGGTATTATAAATATATTATTATTTTGAATATATTGAGAGTGTACATTGCAAAGTTAGTAATATTGTATTACTACGCCGACCCATCGTCTGCGGTGTTTATACTTGGTAGCGTTCGGTTATCACCGACATTTCACGCTTGGTGATAATTTGAATGTTCACATCAAGTACAGTACATTGAAAACCATTGATATAATTTCTTATAATTGATTCATATATTATAATCAGTTAGATCTATAAAATAATTTCACATAGCTGTGTTTTGACCACGCCTACTATCCACGCTTTTACACTTGGCGGGCAGAGAGCACGTAATCACAGTAATGTAGAATTTTCCAGCCAACTTGGCTGCCGAGTTAAGTCCGCAATTGTATTTATCGATTAAGTCTCTTGTAATCTCTGTGAAGGTTTGAAGACCGATCCATTGACGGTGATGATTTATATACTGTCCGGCGTAGCAATACGGGACCTCGGGTCGAGGGTTTATATTCTATCCGGCATAAGAATACGGTAACTCAGGTTGAAGATTGTGCGTAGTCCCGGATATCCAGTCGGGTCTCAGAATTTATACCGGAAGCTGGTCAGGTCGGTAAAATCACAACACTCTTCCCCGTTTTTCCTAAAGAGGAAAGGTGCTACCTGCACATCTGAAAAAAAACTGTTTCATTTTTTTTCCTTCTATATACACTAATTTTTTTTAAAAAATTTTTTTTATTTATTTTTTTTTTTTTAAATAATTAAGTCATTCACTCTCACAGTCACGCTGGCAACGGTATACAAGTACACCAGTAAGATTTACTCGCCATTCTCCCCAAAAAGAAAAACCCACCCCCTGGGTCATTATATACTATTCAAAAAAAGTAGGGGATATTTGATTT